CGGGGGGGCCCCGCAGGTCAGGCGAGCGCGGGGGGCGGGCGCTGACGAGAAAGGCCCCCTCCAGCCCTGACAAGCGGACGGGGACGGTGGCCGGGGCGGGAACGGGTGGAAAATGGCGGTTGTTGGTGCTGGGAGGGAAGGGGGCTGCAGCTATGCGACCGCGGTCCCTGGGAGAGGGGGGGGTCGGGGTGGGTGAGGAGGCACTTGGGCGTTAGTGTGGGGTTATGTGGTGGGGCTGAGAAGCTTGAGTGTTAACTCCAAGCTACGGCGGGAGGTGTCTCTGTACCGCCCTTAAATTACATTAAAATTAAGAAAGCGCAGTTCTGTACTTTCAACTCTCACCGCCCCTACCCCCCAAAAAAACCCCAAACTCTCTATGCCTGTTCAGCTATCTTGCTGTGACTTACAGAAGTGTTTCCATTCAAGCAGAATAAAGAGAGCCTATTCAGATTTTTTGAGCGCGTGTCACTGGAAGAACAGTAGGCGTCCAGGGCTGCATTGGTCAGAGTGGAGAAGCAAAGTCAGCTGAATGCGTGTACTCCTTCCAGAAACTCCTGCAGTTATGCTGTAAAAATAGACCAGTATTTTGCAAGAGGACTTCTGTGTTGTACTGTCAGCTGGACGTTAGTGTTACCACTGAGGTCTGGGGAGCTGCTGTAAAATGGGTTGTACTGAACTACCTAATTTATAGTCTGAAGTTATTTTAATAATTTGAAATAATTCAGACTGCAGGTCTACATTATAGGGAAAAATGTGTGTGTCTGCTCACTTCAGGAATTACATTGGATGCAGCTTGATCTGTTTAAGGCATTACTGTGACAGCACTGCTGCTGGAGGTACTGTAGCCAGGAAGCACTTGATGACGTCTTATAAGCTGTTCATTTGCTACCATCTGGATGCCATACTGAGAAAAATTATTTTGAAACATGGGGAAGAATCAGACTGGCACCATGTGACTATACACCATGTGACTATACAGCCATCATCAAATGCCACTTTTTATTTGGAGAAGTGAAAGTCTTACAAAATGATTTTTGAATCATTTTTGATTGGCAAAGAATCTGTGATCTGTGGCAAACATGCTTGCATGTTTCTTGCCTGAAGGCGAGTTCCTGATTAGTTTCTGTGAGAGGTGGCTGCTTGGACCATGCTGCAGGTGGCACCCGGTTGCTCTTCAAAGGGCCGAAATGATTGTCCATATGTGGCTGATGGAGCTGGCAGCTGAGTAGCCAGTGCTGTAGCTGCTCCAACTACTCCTTTTCCATACAGGCTAACTACAGACTGAAATAAGAAAATAGAAATAAAGAAGAACCACTTCTGATGTGAGAGGCTTTCCACTATAAAGATAACCATGTATGTTCTCTATTTGCATATGATATGAGGGAGAGGGATAATTTCACCCTTTCTTAAATGGTTATGTAATAGCTTTGACCTTATAGGCCCTAAAAGTTGGGTGCTTCATTTGGTGTAATGGTAAAATGTGCTATTTTAATGATAGTGTTCGATTTTAAGGAATAAAAAAAAAAATGTTGCTGCTACTTAACACGCGGTTAGCATGTTGGAATGAATATAGCATGTGGTTTGAGGAAGGAAAAGATTTTTAGCAGCTGCTTATCTAGGAGAATTTTTAGTAGTATTATACCATAATGTGCATTATAACAAATTTATAGCAGATACCTTTCCTAGCTCTGAAGTCACAAGTAGATATTCTACAAAGGTAAACATATAGTATAGCTTCACTGGTTTGTGAAATGAGTATTTTAAGAATTGGGAAAGGGTTTGATTGTAGTAACTACATGATAATGCAGCACAAAATTAATGATATAACCAGTTCAGAAAGAGGTGGGTTTTTTGAAACTCACTAGTGTGCTCACTAGAATCTCTAAGGACTGAAAGCATGGTCACAGCAGATACATGAAAGAATGTTTTATTTTGGTATAGCGACACCTGTTTCTTTTTATTTCATGGGATGAATTTAACACTAAGCCTTTTGAGTAGACAAATACTGTAAGGGTTGTTTTTTGGATTTTGGTGTCTTTTTTGCAAATCATTCTATAGTGCTGTTGATTCTTGGTTCAGAGGAGATAATTGTTGGTTTTTTTTCTTCTCAGGACTCAGTTCTGATGAAAGACATTAGGGTGTGTACATCCTGAGTAAATCTCCTATGAGAGTTTTCTGGTTCTTCAGGTATTTTGAAGAGTATCCTGTAGAAACCTGCACTGAATAATAAGTAAAACCAACAATAATAAATAAATATGAAATTATAACTTTGCTTGCTCCTAATACTGATTTAATTCTTAAGGTGTTCATGCTCATAGTTGTTCATATGAAATAAGCACTAGTTGTAGTACCAAGAGCTAATTATGAATTGAGTGCTAGTTGCCATTATGTAGTCAAAGAATAATTTAGGTTGGTAGGGATTTTGGGGGGTCGCTCATTCCCCCCTGTAGTCTGTACACATGGGCAAAGTCAGACCAGACTGATCAGATTGCTCACAGGCATGTGAAGTTTTATACATTTTGAAAGATGGAGATTCCACAATCTCTTCAGGCAATCTGTTCCAATATCTGACTTGGTCATAGTTTGGCGGGGAAAAATCCCACAACTTTCCATGTATCATTGGAGAATACGGTCTTGCAAACTACACTCATCATCTCTTACCCTGTCGCTGTGCGCTCCCCTCAGATGAGCCGGTTTCCATTTTCTCGATACTGTCTTACTAAGCAGCTGTAGAAAGCAGTAAATCTCCTCGTAGCTTTTGTTTCTGGAGACTGAACAAAGCCATTTCTCTCAAGTTTTTCATTGTCTGTTACATTTTCCAGTTCCTTCATCATCTTGGTGACCCTACACTGGACTTGCTCGAGTATGTCAGTGTCTTTCTGTCCTGGTTTCGGCTGGGATAGTTATTTTTTTTTGCAGTAGCTGGTACAGTGCTGTGTTTTGGATTTAGTATGAGAATAATGTTGATAACACACCAACGTTTTAGTTACTGCTGAGCAGTGCTTACACAGCGTCAAGGCCTTTTCTGCTTCTCACACCACCCCACCAGCAAGTAGGCTGGGGGTGCACAAGAAGCTGGGAAGGGACACAGCCAGGACAGCTGACGCCAATCACTTTTACTCTTCTGATTTTCTCCCCCATCTCACCAGGGGGGAACAAGCGAGCAGCTGTGTGGTGCTTAGCTGCCGGCTGGGTTAATCCACAACACTTTCTTGTAGTGGGGAGCACTCCAGATGCAGCTGGGTCCCAGTTCAGGGTGTGGGGAAGGACTCTGTCCTTCCAGGTCATGACTGTCCAGGTCTTTTATAAGGACATCAAACATTATGGCTCCCAATATGATCCCCGAGGGATGCCTCTAGTAATGGCCTGCCAACTGGACTTTGTCCCACTGAGGACAATCCTGCAGTCCTTTACCTTCTTGTCCATTTATCTACCAATTTATCTCACCAGTTTGGCTATAAGGGTAGTACAGGAGATTGCATCAGTGACCTGTTTATATCTGATTATTTGCTTTGTTTATGCAGCTTTATTTGCTTAAATGTTCTCCATGTGAAAAACCATGCTTCTTTCAGTCTAAAGCAGGTACAGATTTCCTTGCATCTGAGATCCACTAATGTACGTTATGGCTCAGTTTCCTGGGGAATTTGGGACCACAGGTGAATGGCAAATCCAGTCAGTTATTCAAAGTTTGATTAGCACATTGAAATTCACTAATCTTACATTTTGGGAAGGAAAGCAAGAACAAAGGTTAAACACCAGACCAAATATTAAGCAGGCCATTTAGAAATTCTGACCTTCCTTCTGTCAGATAACTAGGACTAAAGTACATTTCTAATCTAGACAAGTTGAATATTGACTAGATATTGTTTCTTCTGTGGTGATACTGCAGTCTCCTTGTGGGGTAGAAGGTTTCTATCTGCCCGAGCCTATACGTCTCATGAGATGATATTCCCATTAAGGTTTACAACCCTTGAAAAGAAGGGTCCTGGAGGAGAGAGCGAGACCCTAAAAGGCCAGCAGTCCCCCTCAGCACACAAGGGCAACAGATCAGTGCGTGCTCAGGGTTCTCAGATGGGAAAATCTTTAGCCAGAGAAACCAGAAGTCTGGAGAAGGACTGTCTTCTCAATCTCTGCTTGTGTAAAAATCGTGTGAAGCTCCCCTCAGGGATTCACCATGACAACTGTCAGTCTTGCACATTTGGAGAGGTGCTGATCTTCACAAAGCACCAGAGGAAAGGCAGGCAGGCTAAGAACAGGGGGTGTGAGGGGGAGTTCAAGGATTTTTCTTTCAAGCCTGCAGATTTAGTGTTTTAAACTCCAGTGGTGGATGTAATCCTTGCTCTAACTCTCTCAAGTTTTCTTGTGCTGGGCTGGATATAAATTTGAGAAAGGGACTGTGTTTTAGTCTGCTTTTACAGGGGAGGAAGGTCCGTGCTGTGCAAGCTGTATGTGTATGCATTTCATTTGAAGTGAATATTGTCTGGGGGGGTGTAACTCTCAAACCTTGTTTGGCACACAGGAAAAGGAAACCCTGCAGGTGCCTTGATGGTGGAAGATACGTGCTTCATTAGACAAAGGAGAATGCTTTCTGAGGGAGCAAGCAAGCATATAGAGGGAGGAAAGGAGGAATGATCACAGAATCACAGAATAGTTTGGGTTGGAAGGGACCTCTAAAGGTCATCTAGTCCAACCCCCCTGCTGCGGGCAGGGACATCTTCAACTAGATCAGGTTGCTCAGGGCCCCGTCCAACCTGACCTTGAATGTTTCCAGGGATGGGGCATCCACCACCTCTCTGGGCAACCTGTGCCAGTGCTTCACCACCCTCATTGTAAAAAGTTTCTTCCTTCTAGCTAGTCTGAATCTACCCTCTTTTAGTTTAAAACCATTCCCCCTTGCCCTGTCACAACAGGCCCTGCTAAAAAGTTTGTCCCCATCTGTCCTGGTTTCAGCTGGGATAGAGTTAATTTTCTTCCTAGTAGCTGGTACAGTGCTGTGTTTTGGATTTAGTATGAGAATAATGCTGATAACACACCGACGTTTTAGTTATTGCTTAGTGCTTACACTAGTGAAGGACTTTTCAGCCTCTTATGCCCTGCCAGCGAGAAGCTGGGAGGGGGCACAGCCAGGACAGCTGACCCAAACTGGCCAAAGGGATATTCCATACCATATGACGCCATGCTCAGTACATAAACTGGGGGGAGTTGGCTGGGGGAGGGGTGACCGCTGCTCGGGGACTGGCTGGGCATTGG